AAAGCCAGAGAATGCCTGGGCTGCCGGACGCTGGAAGAGGCAGGAAGGATCCTCTCTCCTAGAGGCTTTGAAGGAAGCATAGTTCTGCAAACGCCTTGATTTTGGAATTCCAGCCCCTACAACTAAGAAATTTGCTTTTTTAAGCCACCCAGTCTGTGGTGCTTTATTACAGAGATCCAGGACATGCTAGTAGTACTCCAGGTACGATTTTTAAAACAAATAACAAGTGTTGGCAAGTATGATGGTTAATTTTACGTGTCAGCTTCGCAGGGCCGTGGTACCCAGACATCTAGTCAAACGTTATTCCAAATGTTTCTGTGAAGGCATTTTTTGGATGACATTATGTAGGTGTTCCTCATCCCATCAGTCAAAAAGATCTTAATAATAACAGACTGACATCCCCCTTGAGCAAGAAGGAATTTCTGACTTGCAACTCCTTCCTAGGTCTCCAGCTGCTGGCCTCCCCTGCAGAGGTTGGACTTACTCCACAAATGTGTAGCCCAGTTCCTTGAAGTAAACCTGCTTCTCTCTATATGCACGCCTTGTTGGTTCCAGTTCTCTGAAGAGCTCCAATATAGCAAGGATGTGGAGAAATGGGAAACTTCATACACTGCTGGTGGAAAGGAAATGGTGCAGCCATGGTGGAAAATCATTGGGTGATTCCTTAATTAGTTAAACATAGAGCTACCACGTGATTTAGCAATTCTACTCCTACGCATGTATCTCCAAGAAGTGAAAACAGGTCCTCAAACAAAATGTGTACAAGAATGTTCACAGCAGCACTACTGACAATATCCAAAAGGTAGAGACAACCCAATTATCCACTCACTGATGGATAAATAAATGCGGCATATCCACAGATGAAATGCTATTCAACCACTATTCAACCATAAAAAGGAATAAAATTCTGACAAATACTACAACATGGATGAACCTTGAAAACACTGTGCCAGGTGAAAGAAGCCAGACTCAGAAGGCCATGTATTGTAGATTTCATTTGTATTAAATGTTCTGAACAGACAATTCCATAAATACAAAAAGCAGATTAGTGGTTGCCAGGGGAGAACAGGGGGTTACTGGGAGTGACTGCTTAATGGGTGTGGGGTTTCCTTTTGAGAGAATGAAAAAATGTTCTGGAACTAAATCACAGTAATGGTTGCATATTATGAAATGTATTAAATGCCACGTGTATTTAACCACGACAAAAAAACCATGTGGCCCAAGTACACATGGAAGGATAGTTCATAAATTCACTCATAAATCAACCAAAGTTGTGGGAATGAACTTCTCAGTTCACTGTTCCAGAAATGGAACAATGAAGTGAGAGTTAAAGGTCAGCACTAAAAAACATCCTGTGTGTAACCATTACTATGAACAAGCAGGCTTGTGGAACTCGATTCACAGAGCAGCTTTATTTTTCTCTCCAGCTGTCCCTTGAAATCCAACCTGTAGGGCGAGTGCACTGGCAAGCTCTAGGAAAGAAACTCAGGTCTCCACAATTCCTCTAGTCAATCTTATTTAATAGTAACAGTAAGTCCCACAGTCACCCTTGCGATGCAAAACAGTTTCAATTTGGAAATTTAAATATCCGACCCCATGTTATAGTCAAAACGGCTTATCACTGGAAGCTGAGGCTTTCCTGGGCCTGCTGCGGTGCGAAGCCAACAGTTTCAGGTTGAGGGCAGTGGGAGAGAGGAAAGGAAAGCAAAAGGAGAGGAAATCTTGACATGAGGCGCTGTGACAACTGGCACCGGCTTGGCAGGAGCTTCACTTCTTTCTCACGCTGGCTTCTGCAGCACTCCGGAGCGGCTCACCCTCTCCCCATCGTCCCGTCTTTGCCCTCCATCACTAGGCAGCACTCAGCGGTGGTACATACCCCCGCACCCCGCCCGTTATCTGCGGCTTGCTCCTCAGCAGTGCAAGTTCACCTCCTTGAGGAGACAGATGCCTGCCTCTTGGTCTGTCTGAGATGACCGGTGCTGGTGTTCCCTCGAATGCAGCTCACATCTGGTCCAAAAAATCTAGGAATGGCGGCTGCATCCAACTCAGCCACCCCTCCTGCACTCCATCATCAAAGTGGCTAGCCAGCCACTGGCATATCATCCTTTGGATTTTTCCAGGCAGGGGTCTGTCTAGTCCACCAGATCACCACCCTGCCGGGCACATAGTAACATCCAGAGGTCCCTTCCCATACCTTGAGGTCAGAGGCAGGTCAGAGCATTATCTACTGCTCTCCCTTAGGGGGCGCAAAACACACAAATGGTTCTTTTCAAAGGAATCCTCATCGAAAATCTTTTCTTCCACTCTAGCTCTTCTCTCATATGCTTAATGTGGTTAAGGGAGGCTGCCGGTTTTTGACCACCTCCATTGTAAATACAGCACATGGTATAGGTATGAGGTATCTATTGCTGCCTTCCAAAACAAATCTATTTTAGCCTCTTGTTACAGGTGAATTTTAATACCTACGTTCGTTGAATGTAGTAACAGCTGCCACTGAGCCCCTAATTTGTCCCAGACTGGACACTAGGCTTTCTTTATAGCATCTCATTTAAAGTTTATGGATATGTTTGTAACTACTTTATCATTTTTGTAAGAATTTAGATGGCTGGCATTTAGAAATCTGTGGAATACATTATTAAGATTTTTGGTAGAAAACATTATTCTGAAAGTCACAGAGTTTCAGATCTGGGAAGGACTTCGGAGGTTATACAGTCAACCTCACTCGTTTCCTAGAAACAGCACAGTTGTGGGGGTCCCAAGAGGCCGGGGGATGCACCCAAGGTCATGACAGTGAGAGATCAGAGGTGGGTTATCACTTGCCACAGCTGCCTCTTATTCCTAAAACACATGAAAAAACTCTGATTTTTACTGCCAATTTTAATATTTATCAAACCAGCGGTGGAAATGAATTTTTAATGCAAACTATTTTAGTCTAAAAAACAGTCCAAAGAATTGAACACACTGGGCCTCCAACATCACAGCAAAGCTGTATGAATCCCGATCTATGGTATGGGAGAATAACGGATTCTTCACTGAATCGGTGCCTCTGAGTGGAAGAGCGATTTTTTAAATGAAAAAATCCCATGGAGGTGGCGATGAGACAGGAGCTGAGCCAGATGAACGATCCCAGGAGAAAGTAAGAAAGCAAACCAGGCTGGAAGGCAGCTTTTCCTTAAAGATCTGAAGTAAACCAAGTGCTGATTGCTTGTGCCCAGTGAACTACTGTCGTTATTCCCATCTTCCCAGAGGTGGCCTGCTCTCATGTTCTGATCCCTTTAGATGATAACCTCCGGGTTTCATACACACTCTTCACACACATTAGCGTGAGGGTGATATTCTTCATCTAACAAATGTGGGAACTTAAGACTTCATGCCAGATGAAGTCCAGCCACCCCGCATTCCCAGACTGCAGTCCTCAGAGGGAAACGCACTGAGATGCAATATGGCTCCGGCACCAGAGGCGTCTGGGAAATGTTGGATTCAACTCTGCAGCCTCAGGCTTGGCTGACTACCTGGAAGAGTGGGATGCCACGGGAAGATGAAGCCACACCCCCAGGAAGGTTAATGAATGTATAGACTGTGATGACTGACTGACGTTATCTGTAAGAATGCCTTGTTCTTTCTGGGGACCCCCCACCCGTGGTTTTATTACTAGCCCCTTTTAAGAAGAGACCCCGTCCTGAAAGGGGCAGGGCTTCTTCCCAGCTGACCACCACTGGGAGCAGCTGCTTTGCCTATGTAAGTTTCTCCTATTAAAACTCTTATGAATTTGAGTGAGGCTACATACCAGTTCTTTGGTATGATCCCGAATTTCGACCTTTGGGCTTCCCCCCAACACTGCATGTACTCTCAGGTAGTACAACCACCACAGGCTGTAGGGCTGGCAGGGAGCCGAGAAATAACTTAGTCCAGTATCGCATTTCAAAACTAAGAAAACAGGCCCAGAGAGAGAAACACCTGGCCCGGGAAGGTCACACAGTTAATGGCTCTAATCACAGAAGTTAAGCATTTTGACAGATTCATGAACTCTGGGGTAGTTCAATCTTCAGCTCTGAGGACCTCAGAGTCACATTTGTAGCCCAAAGTGCTAATTAAACCAGACGAATTATGGACTTACTATTTATAGGCAGGAGTGAAGACATTAACTAGGCCATGAATCCTAGGGACAGCAGGAGATCTTGTCTCCTAAGACCCACACACTAATTCAACCTTTACGTTTTAAGACAGAACCTGGATAATGCAGTCCCAACGTTCCCGATTCTCGACTTTGACCCGAGTTGCATTTGCTCTCAGACCACGGCTACTGCAGATTTTGTGTTGTGAGATAAATGGGAAACCCTAGCCCTTCCGGCGGCTGCTGCCCTCACCCCGTGGAGAGGTTAAAAAAACCTTTCCAAGCATCAATTACTTCAAAAGGAACTATTTCAAACTGTTTTTCTATTATTTTGAGTTTCAACCACCAGTACTCAGTCAACACACTGTCATTGAATTTAAAAGTAAAAAGGAGAAAGTAAACCCACAGAAGTATTTTTCAAGGCATACCACTTGTGTTTGAATTACCTCATCTTTTTCTTCTCTGTTCAGAGTGACTTTCGCTGTATTGCCAAAATCAAATACTTCTCAGGAGGCCTGGTGGTGCAAACAAAAGCACTGAAATCAAAGAACTTGCAAGTCTTCATCCATCGGAGGCTGCGGTACTGGGGTGAGTCACTGAACTCTCTCCCTCGGCTCCCACTTCCACACAACGAGGGTAAAACTTAGAGGTACCTCTCCTGGGTGCTGTGTGGATCGGCCAATTAAAGCCAATTAAGCCCCCAGAAAGAACTAGAAAATACTATGTAAGTGCTGAGTATTATGGGCTCCCAAGAGCCACACAAACTCTTAAGGGACAAGATTCTGTGCAGAGAGCAGAGCCCGCTGGCGATGGCTCCTTACCCACCGATTACAAAGCAGGCACTGAGGGTTCGCAAAAGGGAAGGGAAAGGACCCGTCACGCAATGTCGTTCAACAACACCATCTTTATTCAAAAATATATATCTATGAGACATTTCAGAATATACTGCTGCCACCAAAGACAGCCTATACTTCTAAATAAAGTCCTAAATTAATATACAAATTTAAGCTTTAAAAATATTCTTTAAGAAAAAGGGGGAAGGATGAAGACTTTGAGGAATCCGACCTAAAGGAGAAGTCCTCTGAGGTCTACAGGTGCCCTAAGTAAAGAAGAACAAACACGAAACAAAACCACCCGCCCCACCCCGCCAGGTCCTTAAATTAAACAAATGAAGTAAGCACACTTGGGGAGGATAGGAGAGAATTAAGTTTTAAAAACCAAAAGCATTTCATTAAAAAAACAAAACAAAAAACCCTAACTTCCTCACAGGAAGTTCACTAGTAACATGTGTTAAGAGGCCAACATTCATTTACATAATTGCTAGTTTCATCTCTTGCTCTTGCTGTAATAATTATGCACCAATTGCTGGTCAGACTCAATCAGATAAAACATCACAGTGGGCAAAATCCATTCAGTTAGAACATTTCGTCTGGCCGATGAGAGCAAGTATCTACTATACCCTTTTTTGGGTTCTTCTGTGGCTAGTAAGATTTTGCGTCCTTGGCGAAGCCCAAAGGATGGCCCAGGGTCTGCTGAGAAACACGCTCCTGAGCGGGACTAAAGCAGCGCAGCACACGGGAGGGGCGCATGTGCACAAACAGCCAAGACCGGAGCTCATCCTGCAATTTCAGTCAAGTCGCCCCTGCCCTGTGGCCTCTGAGAGAAAAACTTCAGACAGACTCATTAATTCAGTACGGACAGAAGAGGCAGTGGCAGTAAGAACACACAGTCCATACTCAAATCTGAGCAACAGCCCACACTAATAGAGATTTTGGAGCTCCCCCCCAACAAGGGATCCCTTTTTATAGCTTTGGGATTTTAGCCTCTGGACTATAATTCTTACTACACTATTGGGCCAAGTTGTCTGCCCTTTCCAATGTCAAAATAAGCCTGCCAAATCAGAATGATTTAAGGGTTAGCAGGCCTAACCTTTACTAAAAACAAGGTAAAAATCCTAACTACATTATGTAGTAGTAATGTCAGCTGGCATGATAAAAGAATTAAAACCCAAAATTAATATCCCCAACTTCCCTGCCCAAGACGAGCTCTTCAGTAACCCCTGATGCAAAGCACGCCTGGGCCCGGGACACATGCAGCGGTGTCTGCACTGACGGACAGATGGGTGTGCAGTGTCGTGTTTGCAAAGGAGATATTCAAGTTTCGTCACCATCCTGAGGACATATGCTCCCCACAGCGAGTTAATGTTACTGTGTGACCTCTCCCCAGAAGAAAGGGTCAAAGCAATGCCCACACAGAGCCCAGAGTCTCAGTATGCCTTTGGCTTTGGGGGCCCAGCACTGCCATTTCTACAAAGCACCTACCACAACCAACTGCGGTCAAACACGTGTTTTCAGGAACGTGTTCCATTGTACTGGGTGGTCTCTCGGTAAGGGCAGCCTGGGAAGGTTGTTTGCAGGAACTTGAAGCAAATTACTTTTTAACTCATACTTATAATTGCCGTTACTGCCTCTGAACTGTGATTTTATGTCCCAGATCAGCTTCAGATCTTCTTGCTAGATTCTCTAGTCTGCTTCCAAAACAAATGCACTGAACCCCTGACTACACGTCACTAGAAGTAATGGGAAAAGAGAATCGGAGATTTGGCAAACTCCTTCCTTATGGCAAAGCTGCTCTACAGTTGTGCCTCTCTTTGGGGTTAGAGGAGTCAGGGAAAGCCAGTGACTCCACAGTGAGTCCCTCAATGGAAGCCTGTACTGAACTTGAACAAGCCCCGCTCAGACAGAAGCTGCTTTCATGACACAATACTATCATCAGGGACAAGGTTCTTCTGAAAGCTTCCAAAAGTACACATGATTTTTCTAACTTCTTGGGTATAAAAAGAGGGTTAAGAATGGAAAACCAACAGGGGCATAAAAACACAAAGTAGAAGAGTTTATATTCTTTCCAAATACCAATCTAAACTGGACTGCGTTTGCCCCTGTTCTGAATTGTGCTCAACAGGAGAGGCTGGAGAGGAGATCAGAGTCTGTGGTTCTTTCTTGAGGTTGGGAGGCTGGGGGCCAGGCGGAAGGAGGGACAGAACCAGGGGCTACAAGGTCATTTCCAACCATGACTTGCCCTCCTCTTTCTGCTGGTAGAGATGGGAATCTGGGGCAGATACCTGCCCTAGTCGGTGGAAAACAGGTCACCAGCAGAGGGCAGGGGGGCTAAGCCCCCTGTGACGTTGGGCAGCAAAGAGAGGTCTGGCAAGCTCTGAATGTGGGACTTCAGTTCCTTGCGAACCTGGGTGACCCGAGCGAGCTTCTGTTTATATTCCTAAAGAAACAAAGAGAAGACAATGTAGTTAAGTCTTTGTGAGCTGATGGTCAAGTTTAAGGAGCTGATACAGATACCCTCATCTTCTTGTTCTACTGTCTCTTCACCAGATCACCCCTCCCCTATTCAGCTAAAGGACCATGCTAGGGTTTTTAAACTCCCAAAAGGCAAAATTTTATATAAAAAAGGAAAGTAGAGTTCAATACTGGTGACAGCATGAAATGGTATTTCACTTAGTACTTGAGATTTGGAAGTAAAAAGAAGTGGCATTTTGTATTTGTAGCATCTCTTATTCGGCTCTTAGCTATTTCAAAATGCCTTATAAAATATAGTACAGATGCTTAGAGCTTACAATTATTTTGAAGGCTACATCTAAACATAGTTAGAGAAATCACTATAAAACGACAGTTTCCGTGTTAAATGCAAAGATGAAACCAGATTTATCATTTTCGCAGATAAGGAATATATGAGTTTAAAACATCCAATGCAATCCCCCCCCCCAAGTAATTGAACAAGTCCCTGATGAGGCTTCTGGTAGTCTCCCCTAAACATGCCAGACTCCTCTTCTGAAGGCCCAGTTTTCATCAAGTCACCCCTCTGAGACAGTGAGACGGCACCACGCTATCTCACGACTGCTCCAAGCTCAAGGTGTTCTAAAGCCAGCTTCTGCCAACTGTACTTCTCACAACCCCCGCCCTCCTGTGTAGTGGCACAGCCTGCAACGGCCATTTGTTTAGGGTTCTCCTTGAGTCCGGAGGGGAACACAACCTAGACACAGATCTGTCCACCTCACCCAGGAGACTGGCCCCCACCTCTGCCTGCTCCAGAGCCCTGCTATGCACTGGGTCTGCATCTGCGCCCCGACAGGCTGCTCTTAGGTGCTCTCTCCATACATGTTATTAGACTTCTATGCTCCTCTGAAACTAAGGCCCCTGACGGCAGGAACTGAGCACACTTTCTTCAGCTCCCAGCTCAATGTCCTCTTGGTGAATCTGCACGGAATAACCACCGGACCATGGGAGGTCTGTGGTTTACACCCCCTTGGAGCTCGTCTTTTCTCTTCCAGCTCTGTCCCCCCAGCCACTGTTTCTGTGAAGACAAGGGTATTCCTAAGTCTGGGTCCTCGCCGACTAATGCCTCTCCTGCAGGAACGCTGAGACTCAAAGACCTGGGTTTTGTCCCAGTTCTGACTCTAACTTGCTGTGTGACTGTGAGCATTCTCTCCCCTTCCATTATCCTCACCGTCCTTATCTGAAAACGAAAAACTGGACCTCCCATAAGATCTTTCTTCAAGGTCCAGACTCCTTCACACCAACACCGCTTGCACACTTGGAGACACAAAGGGTTTGAGGGCAGGAGCCCTCCTGAGAAGAGTGACGAGACAGGAAATGAGTTAAGTGAAGAACACTTGGTTCATGTCGTAAAGACGGAGTCCAAGCTGGGAGCAGAAGAGGGGAACTGGGGCAGGGAAGCTCGGCCCCCACATTCCCACAGGCAGTCAGCTGTCCCCTGAAATAACAGCTGCTCGCACAGGCCATCGGATTAAGAGATAGGGAAAGAAAGTAAGCTCTCCTGGCACCCCATTTCTTTCTTTTGTAGCCTCAGTACAACTAAAACCATGGCTTACGTATATTATTAATAACGACTCCCCCATCAACCCTGTCAGCTTCAGGAGATCAGAACCAGATCTATCTGCTTTCACCCAGCACCCACCATGCCCAGAGGGTTCTAAACCAACAGTAGATTCTGACATAGCCACCCAAAGAATTAGTAATATATAAAACATAATAGTTTTAATTCTTGAAACTGAAGACTAATTTCAAATGTGAGGATCTAAATGTCTTCAAGGTCCCCGGCCCTTCCCTCTACAAACATATTTCCTCCTTGGTTTTATATCCTTCAAGGGAAATTAATAGAGACCAACTGTCTATCACTGAACACGGATTCATTTAATTGACTTCTGAATTCTAGGTACAAAAAGGGCAAAATAGCTACTAACAGGGAAGGCAGACAATCTGATTAGATACTACCCTGAGTTCAAATAACTCTCCCAGGCCGTCTTTAAAACTGTCAAAAATCCCATTTGCTCTTGTTTGGGTTGGGGGTAGGGCTTTCTCATCATGCTCAGGCCACTATTATATTCTAGATATCATCAAAAACCCCTTCATTTTGATAAAAAGAAATACATTGCACATTGAAGTCCTGTCTTCAGGCCACTCTGAATGTTGAATGAATCCAGCCCACCCCTCCTCAAGCTACTGGGTTAGTCTTTCCAAGGGATTTCTAGTTTAAGAGCAGGTACATGAGTCTAGGAGGAGGGCAAAACTAGAAAAGAAGGGGACTGCCAATGAAAAGGATTTAAAGAAACTAGAGTTGCAAGATACAAGGTTAACATACAAAAGTCAATTGCTTTGCTACATACCAGCAGTGAACCTGTACTATTAGCACCCAAACAATGGAATACTTAGGCATAAATCTAACCACGTATGTACAATATTGTAGGAGGAAACTAAAACAACGATGAACAAAGAGCTAGAGAGACAGTCCATGTTCACGGATTGCAAGACTCAATACTGTTATGGTATAAGTTCTTCCCAGCTTTATCTACAGATCCAACGCAATCCCAATCACGAAATCACAGCAACTTCTGTGGAGGTAGACAAGACAAACTATCTCTAAAGTTTACATGAAGAGGGAAAGGACTCAGCCCAGACAAAACAGTACTGAAAAGAACAAAGCCAGATGTACCTGACTCCAAGACTTATAACAAAGCCACAGTCATCAAGAAAATGTGGTACTGGCCAAAGAACAGACAAACAGACCAGTACAACAGAATGCAGAGAGCCCGGAATCAGACCCATTCACACAGTCAACTGACCGTAACAAAGCAACAGAGGCAATACAGTGGAGAAAAGGCAGTCTTTTCAACAAATGGTGCTGGAACAACATCCACGTGCAAAACAAAAACAAAAAACAAACCCCTAGACATCTTGCATCCTTTATAAAAATTAACTCAAAAGGAAACACAGATCAAAATGTAAAGCACAAAACCATACAACTCCTAGATGATAACACAGGAAAAAATCTAGATGATATTCAGTTTGGTGATGACACTGTAGATACAACACCTAGGCATGATCCATGAAAGAACTAATATGCTGGACTTGATTAAAATGAAAAAAATTCCTCTCTGTGAAAGGCACTGTCAAGAGAATGAAGAGACACGCCACAGACTGAGGGAAAATGTTTGCGAAAGACAGCAGGGAAACAAATTAAAATACTGAAATATCACCACCAAATCCAGACCACTGATAACACCAACTACTGACAAGGATGTGGAACAACAGAAACTCTCATACTGGGTGGGCCAAAAAATCTGTGTGGTTTTTTCCCATAACATAAAAGACATGTTTTTCATCTTCACCAATAACTTTATTGACTTGGATATTTTGAGTATGCTAGCTATCTTCTGCATGGTATAACATTGACCCCGACTAAATGTCATGATCTGATAGCTATCAACTTCAACTGGTCTACCCAACCACGCAGTGTCATCCAGCGAGAAATCTCCAGCACTAAACTTTGCAAACTATCTTCAACTCAGTCACAGTGATCAGTCACAGCACTTTCTCCACATACTGCACAAATCTTTTCCTTGCGTTTCAGCTGCATTTTTACCTTTCTTAAAATAATACAGCATAATAAGGTGAAAATGTTGCTTATTTCCTTCCAACTTTAATATTAAAATGACTACACAAAAATCCGATTTTTTAAATTCAAGCTGATAATGATGACCGCTGTCACAATACAATCAGACAAAATTTTTTTTCAAATGAAGTTAAAGACAACTAAGCGCTACTAGAAGCATCTACCTTATGGAAGAAACCAAACGAATTTTTTGGCCAAACCAATACATTGCTGGTAGGAATGCAAAATGGTACAGCCACTCTGCAGTCTGGCAGTCCCTCAACAAAGCTAACCATACTCTTACCATAGGATCCAGCAATCCTGCTCATTGGTATCTACACAAAGGAACCGGAAATTTATGCCCACACAGAACCTGCACATGAACGTTTACAGCAGCATTACTCCTAACTGCCGAAACCTGGAAGCAATCAAGATGCCCTCCAGTTAGGTGAATGAATAAATAAAATTTGGTACACCCAAACAACAGAATAGTTGTCAATACTAAAAAAAATGAACTATCAAGGCATGAAAAGATAAGAAAGAACCTTAAACACATATTACCGAGTGAAAGAAGCCACTCTGAAAAGACACAGAGTCCAGCTACGTGAGGTTCTGGAAAGGGCAAACTATGGAGAGAGGGTTTGGGAGGGGGAAGGGATGGAGACAGAGCACAGAGGACTCTTAGGGGAGTGCACATGCTGTTGTCTAATGGTGGATACGTCCACGTCTGTAGAATGTATCACACTAGTGTGAACCCTAATGTAAACTATGGACTTTGGGTCATTCTGATGTGTGTCAGTGTTGACTCATTAATGGTGACAAATGTACCACTCTGGTGGGGAATGCTGATAGTGGGGGGGACTATATATACATGTGGGGGTATGGTATATGTGGGAAATCTGTGTTCCTCTTAATTTTGAACCTAAAACTACCCTAATAAATAGTGTTAAAAAAAAAAAGACCCACGGACCCAGAGGTTTAAATGCATCTGCAGGGGTGAGTAGGTATACACTCTGAATCTCCAAATGCAGATCAAGACTGCCTTTGAAACTATTAAAACACGGGCCTGCCTAACTGGGTCAGTTGAATGACCTATCTTAATGCCCTAAGGAGAGATGAGCAGGTTAGAATTCGCAGTAAGCTCTGACTAGGTCGAACTGAAGTTATAGTATTTTTTTGTCCCTAAATAGATTCAGCAGTAACTGACCGTGATCTCCCTCCCATCTCTCTGCTTTTAAAATAGATTCAGCCTTTTTGCAAAAAAAAAGTCATTTATAAGTGTTGCCCGAGACCACCACCACCAACAACAAAAA